AAAAAAAAAAAAAAAAAAAAAAAGGAGTAAGAAGAAGAACAGGAATCAAAATGAGAACCATCACGAGAAGACGGATAAAAAACAGGCAGATCTCCACTCTCGAACACAAAGTTGTATAGTGGGAGATTTGAGTATCAAACTTAGTAATCAAAGTCTCTCTCTCTCTCTCTCTCTCTCTCTCTCTCCCTCTATCTATCTATCTATCTATCTATCTATCTATCTATCTATCTATCTATCTCTATCTATCTATCTATCTATCTATCTATCTATCTATCTATCTATCTATCTATCTATCTATCTATCTATCTATCTATCTCTCTAACTCGCGCGCGCGCGCGCGTACATCGTACTAAACACGCACACACTTACACACACACACACACACAGACACACGCACACACACGCACACAGACACACATGCACACATGCACACACACACACACACACACACGCACACACACACACTCTTAAGAGTTGCTGATCTCATTCGGAATCAGCGTAGCAGCCCTCCTCCTCAGATGACCGTCTGCTGCCGTCATCCGAATCTGGGTCATCCTCCACCACTGTCTTGCGCCTGCAGCGCTGTTTTTTTTTTTGAGCCGGTGCAGCGGGCGCTTCGGTCTTGTTCTTTCGAGGCTTGCCACGAGCACGTTTGTGCTGTGCAGGGGCGTCCTGTGATGGCTCCTTTCTTTTCCTACCAACCCTGCTCACCCACAGGTTGTCATGTTGGACAGCCTCATTTATCTCAGGGAATTTCGGCATCTTATCCGTGGACTCCGGAGAGTCCGCTGGTCGTGGCCTGAGTGTGTACACAACTGTTACTGTGGACTAGGGCTTGTCTTCGTGGGCCTTTCCAAGCACGTCATGCTGCACCATGCCCTCCCCCTCTTCTTGCTGCTCCATCTCCTCTTCCTCATGCGGTTGCACCACATCTTCGCCCGCTTCTTGCTGCTCCATCTGCTCTTCCTCATGCGGTTGCACCACGTCTTCGCCCTCTTCTTGCTGCTCCATGTCCTCTCCCTCCTCTCGCTGCATCACGTCTTCGCCCTCTTCTTGCTGCTCCATGTCCTCTCCCTCCTCTCGTTGCATCACGTCGTCCCCCTCTTCTTGCCGCTCCATCTCCTCCCCCTCCTCTGGTTGCCGCTGCTCCTCCTCTTCTTCCTCTTTTACCTCTTCCACGACCCCCAAAGCCCGATCCATATGCTGTTGGTGCTCCAAGGCGTTTTTCTGGCCTCTCTCAATCTCTCTGCGGGTTGGGACAGCTGCACGGCGGGCCTCCTCCTCCATCATCCGTTTTCGGACTAGGTCGCTGTCCCTGTCAGCCATAGCCTTGGCACGGTTGGCATCCTCTTCATCTTCGTCAACCCCGGTTTGCAGCAACATCTCGAGGTCCGTATCTGGCTGTGCAAAGTTGANAGCCATAGCCTTGGCACGGTTGGCATCCTCTTCATCTTCGTCAACCCCGGTTTGCAGCAACATCTCGAGGTCCGTATCTGGCTGTGCAAAGTTGACGTCGAGTTGCTGATCGTACTGTTCTGTTCCCCCTGCTGTGGCCGGTGTTGCTGTCGGGCGTGGCTCCTCTCTACGCTGTCGTCCAGTTCGCCTCCTGCTAATATACATTGTGCCCGAGACTGCAGGCTCCGGTTGCAGCTCAAAATCGGAATCAACATCAGCCTCCTCTTCGCTGGCACTTGAATCGTCTAACGCTCCATACTTCCCCTTCCACAGCTCATCGTCCAAATCACTGTCGTCCATGTGCTCTTCCTCAACGTCCTCGAGATTCTTGGGAATCCTTCCCTTTAAGGTCTTCACGAGCCTCCTTTCCCGAACAAGCTCCTCCTCTGTCTTATCGGCCTCGTCCTCGGGCCCCTTCAACAATGATCCATCGTCCTCTGCAGACTCCGGGATGGGCTCGACGAACGAACTCCACAAATCCACATAGCCCCCGTCCTTAGTCTCCGGAAGACGCAACAACTGCATGTTCCAGTGGATGTCGACGAGCTTCTCCAAGCTCTCCGGCGCCAAGCTGTTCCTTCGTTTGGACTGGACGAAGTCCATGGAAGCCCAATTCCTCTCCGTCGGTGATGCGGTGCTCCACATGCCCATAACCTTGATCGCAATCTTCTGCAATTCGGGCACATCGCCACCATGTGCTGCCCACCACTCTGACGGTGTCTTCCTCTCAACATCTGCCTTCGCTGTGGGGTCCCACATCTTTGTGTCCTTCCTCTTTGGGCCGTTCCTTGTGGGCTTGGAGTGGAACTCGGCCAGGTCACCCCAAATCTCGACGTGCTCCGGCCCTTTCCAAGCACCTCCGATCTGCCTCGAAAAGAAACGCATCGCATTCTGCACAAGCACGCTGTCTTGATCGTGCAGCCACCTCGGCTCTCTCCTTTATGGGTCCAGAAGAAATGCCAATGCGTGGACGGGCTGCCGCATCATCTTGATGCGATCTTTGACTCTGTCCATGATGCTCGCCCGCTCCCCCGTCGTTAGAATGATGTGCGCGAACTTCCTCTCTATGAGGTCGTCATACTCTACGAGGTTTGTGGGAGAAGTCCCGTCCTTATCCATCCGCCTCAAAAGGCTATACACGGGCTCCATCACCTCAGTCACCTTGTGCAACTCCATCCACCAATTGTCATTCCGCAAAGTGAAGTACACCAAATCCGCTCTGGCCTTCAACTTCGCTGTAGACCACCGAATCACTTTCCACTTTCCTGCATTTCATCCATCAACCATGTCCTTCAACACCGCCCTCCTATCGCGAATCCTCTCCAACATTTGGTAGATAGACCCGAAGCGAACCTCTGTAGGCCGAAGCAAAGACAACGAATCATCCAAGGACATCATCAGACTCTATGTGCTGTGATGATTTTTGATGAACTTGACGATCGTGTGCCCCCTCTTCACGGTGTTCTTAACCCAATCGAGCTTGTTGAGGTCCCGTAGAAGAAGGCTGCAGCAATGTGCAGCAGAAGGAACCCATGGGATCCTTGCGATGTCCTTGTCTGTTCGGCGCTCCAAGATCTAAGCGGCCCTTTTGTTCACCCTTGCGTTGTCGGTGCAGATCGCATTGATGCGATGCACCCCAATTTCCCTCATAATTTGCTCCCACAATTTTGCCAATGCAGGTGCGGTCTTCTTCCTCCCCGTCATTAACACCGTCGCCACCAAGACTGCACCACTTTCCCCAGCAGCCAAGAAGTTCATCACCGCCCGCTCGCGACGATCGCTCGACCCATCTGTGATGAAAGTACATCCAGTCACATCCCAACAAGTTGTTAAAGGCTCCACGGACTTCTGTACACGCATGTAGATGAAGTCCAACATCACGGTTCTCATGTGCTTGTAGGAGGGCAATTTCACCTGCGGTCTAGCGTTTGCCACCTGCAAGTACACCTAATGGAGTTTTTGAGTGGTATCGAAATTGAGGAAGTTGAATGGAATTCCAGCACTAAACATGGCCTCCGCCCACGCGGCGTCCAGTTTTTTCTGCGCGCCGTTGTCCACCCACCTCCTTATTGTCGACTGTTGTAGTGTGGACACTCGTGTGTTCCACCTTGAACCCTCTCCCAACCCCCCATCCGGAGCACTAACCTGTTGCGATGCTCCCGCGTCAGTTTTTGCAGCAGCCCTGCCTGCAGTGGGCGGTGGTTGTGGCTCCAGGTATCCGGGGAGATCGTCCTCCACCTCGGATGTCTCCGTTGCAACGACCCCCTCCTCCGGAATTCCATGCAGCTGCCTGTAATGTTTTAGGAGGTACCGTGTATTCTTGTCGTCCGGCTGCACTTTCCCCCCACCAGTAATGAGCTCGTTGACAATCTCCCCTGTTCTCAATGGACATGGCTTCCGCGGCTTCAGGTAATGCTCGACCGCCCTTGTGCTTGTGCCCCTCCAAATCTGCGAGCATAACCGACACCTCACCCAATACTCGCCTCGTGCATTCGGCCCAACCTCCTGTCCCTGTTCCGCATACTTCCACACCGTTTTTTCCTTCTGCAACTTGACCTGCCTCGTCTCGTCCTGTGGAACGAACAGTGACGGGCCCGTTGCCGGTGTGGGGTCTTTGAAGGTCACCGTCGACGCAGGTGTACCGGAGGTGCTTCCACCTTTGCCCTTTCCTCGGTCTGCTGCTGTGGCACCCCTCGTCGTTCCAGACCTGCCACCACCCGCCATGATGTCATGGAAGAGAGTACGGAGGGGATGAGTAGAAGAAGAAGAAGAAGAAGAAGAAGAAGAAGAAGAAGAAGAAGAAGAAGAAGAAGAAGAAGAAGAAGAAGAAGAAGAAGAAGTGGAAGAAGAGAGGAGGAGGAGGAAGAAGGAGAAGAAGAATAAGAACGAAGGAGTGAGGAGGAGGAAGAAAAAAAAGAAGAAGAAGAAGAGGAGGAGGAGGGGGAGAAGGAGTAGGAGGAGGACCTGCCGATTTTGAGTCGGTTTGACGGAATTTAAATTAAAAAAAATGACGAAGGAGGAGGAGGAGGAGGAAAGAAGAAGACGAAGGGAGGAGGAAGAGGAGGAGGAGAGAAGAAGCCGAAGGGAGGGGGAGGAGGAGGAGGAGAGAAAAAGATGAAGGGAGGGGGAGAAGGAGGAGGAGAGAAGAAGACGAATGGAGGGGGAGGAGGAGAGACAGGAGGAGGAGGAGAAGGGGGAGGAGGAGGTGGAGGACCTGCCGATTTCGAGTTGGGTTGACGGAAAAAAAAAAATAAAAAAAATGACGAAGGAGTAGTAGTAGGAGGAGGAGAGAGGAAGACGAAGGCAGGGGGAGAAGGAGGAGGAGAGAAGAAGACGAAGGGAGGGGGAGGAGGAGGAGGAGAGAAGAAGACGAATGGAGGGGGAGGAGGAGAGACAGGA